ATCACTTCTTTATGTCCTGGCTTCGTAGGTTAAATCTCAAGTTCTTCGCTGTAAATAGTAGGGAATCTTTGCTTCCAAACCTTTGGTGTTTATATGATTCTAGCATCAATCCAAATGTGATTCACATAGATGACCAACAGGTATCTTTTTCTGTGTTGGTTAATGGCATTTCTATTGGTATCTCGGCCGTTTATGCATCTACCAGCTACATAACTCGCAGAAATCTGTGGAGCTCTTTGCAAAATATTCTTCACACTTATCAAATGCCTTGGAGTTTCATAGGTGATTTCAACACTATACTTGGTGCTCACGAGTATGATGGTTCTTTTAGGCCTGCGAGAGGCCCGATGGAGGAGTTTGCTGACTGGACAGATTACAACCATTTGGTCCATATGCCTACTGTTGGTGTTAAGTTTACTTGGGCTAATGGTAGAGAGGGTAGGCAGCATACTCGTAAACGGCTGGATCGAGTTATTTGCAATCAGGATTGGGTTAGTCTGTGTGCTCAATCTTCTTGCTCCACTCTTAACAAATCTCGGTTTAATCATTACCCCATTTTATTACACTTTAACTTTCAAGAGTTCAAGTTCAAATCTCACTTTCTTTTTATGCAAATGTGTACATCGCATCCTGACTGCATTAAAGTGGTGGAAGATGCTTGGAAAACTAATTTTGTTGGTTGTCCGATGTTCATTCTGGCAGCAAAGTTAAAATTTCTCAAGGAGAAGCTTAAGGTGTGGAACAAAGAGTGTTTTGGAAATATGCAAGACAATGTCAAGAAGGCTGAGTTAGCTCTGGAAATATTCAGCATCATATTGACACAGACGGCCATACCGATGTTCTGGCTCAGCAAGAGAAAGTGGCGCAAGCTCGGCTGGAACATGCTCTTAATATTGAGGAACTCTTTTGGAAAGATAAAGCTCGTGTTAACTGGCACTTACACAGGGACCGGAACACGAAATATTTTCACAGGATTACTAAAATCAGAAACCCATCAAATCTCATTCACTCTATGAAAATTGATGGGGTCACCACCACCAATCAAAATCTGACTGCGGATCATGTAGTCTCTCACTTTAAGAATTTATTTGACAATTCTTCTATTTTGCAGGACAATTCGCTGGTAGAGGATGTTATTCCGAAGTTAGTGACTGATCAAATTAACTCGTTGCTAACGCCGCTCCCTTCTGCTGAAGAAATTCGCAGTGCCGTTTTCAATTTAAATAGGGATAGTGCTGCTGGGCCTGACGGCTTTGGTCCTATTTTCTATCGAACGTTTTGGGGCTTTATTAAAGAAGATGTTATCAAGGCCACTCTTCAGTTTTTTAAGGACGGGTGGTTGGCTCCTAATTATAATTCCAACACTTTGGTTTTGATTCCGAAAGTAAAGGAGGCAGATAACATTGACAAATTCCGACCTATTTCTATGGCAAATTTCAAATTTAAAATCATATCCAAAGTTCTTGCGGATAGGCTCGCTAAAGTGCTTCCTCATCTGATTTCCAAAGAGCAGCGGGGGTTTATTAACAGGCGCAACATAAAGGATTGTATTTGTCTTGCTTCTGAGGTGGCTAATGTGATTCACAAAAAGTGTCTTCGCGGTAACGTTATGCTCAAGATTGACATTGCCAAGGCATTTGATACACTTAATTGGAAGTTTCTGTTAAAAGTTCTTAAGCAGTTCGGGTTCAATGATTTATTCTGTTCTTGGATTACTTTGGTATTGGAATCGGCCAAAATTTCAGTGGCTTTTAACGGAGATCTTAGAGGATTTTTTGGTTGCAAGAGGGGGGTTAGGCAAGGAGATCCACTGTCACCTCTCCTTTTTTGTCTTGCAGAGGATGTTCTGAGTCGAGGGTTATCTCATTTGGTTGATACGAATAGGTTGAAATGTATCAAAGCTTGTAGGAATATGGTGTTTCCTTCTCATACTCTTTACGCTGACGACATCTTGCTTTTCACTCAAGGTATTTCTTCTTCGTTGGAAGCCATTGCGGAGCTGTTGGATCGTTATGCTTCATGTTCTGGGCAGGTCTGCAATTCGGCCAAATCCTTTATCTATGCAAGTTCTATGGCTGCGGCGCGACATGAATTCTTGGCTAGCAGTCTTGGTTTTAAATTGGGTGTTCTCCCGTTCCTTTATCTTGGGGTTCCCATCTTCAAGGGTAGACCCAAAGCTGCTTTTTTTTCAACCGGTTGCAGATAAAATTCGCGTTAAATTAGTGGCTTGGAAAGCTAGTTTACTTTCTATAGTCGGAAGAGTTAAACTAGTTAATTCGGTGATTCACAGTATGTTGCTATTTTCTTTCCGCATTTATTCTTGGCCGGTTAGTTTGATCACTCAAATTGAAACTTGGTGTCGGAATTTTATATGGAGTGGTGATATTAATCAAAGAAAGATGGCTACGGTGGCTTGGAAAGTTTGTTGTCAGGACCGTAAGGATGGAGGGTTGGGTATTTGCTCTCTTCGTGTTCTTAACAAAGCAAATCGTTTGGTTCAGCGCTGGTGTATTATGAATGAGATTGACACTTGGGCTTCGATTGTAAAAGCTAGAGTTTTAAGAAAAGGCTCGGTGCGTAAATCACACGTTTTCTCGTCTGTTTGGACAGGTTGTGCTGAATTTTTGGAAGACTTACTGCAGAATTCTATGTGGATGATTGGAAAGGGCAATAAAATTAATTTATGGTGTGACAACTGGTGCGGCCGTCCCTTGAGTTCATCGCTTCATCTTTCGGAAGCTCAGCTGGCGCTGCTGAAGGCTGATCTGAGCTCCATTTTAAGCGGCAATTCGTTTAACTTGCCGTCGGGGCTGATCAGTTTTTGTCCTTAGCTGCCACAGATGGTGGAAAATATTTATGTCAATTGTTTGAAGGAAGATTGGCTTGCTTGGTTCAGGTCTGACAGCGGCGATATCACTGTAAAGGATGCGTACTCTTACTGCAAGCATAGCAGAAATGCTTGTGTTTGGGGCAATTCCATTTGGCACTCAAACATCCCTCCTTCTCATTCTATTTTATTTTGGAGAGTTATAAATAATCGTGTTCCTACGGATGACGTGCTCCGGCATTGCGGTATGGCAGGCCCTTCAATTTGTAACCTCTGTTTACATACAGAAGAAAATATCAATCACCTATTCTTTCAATGTGACTATTCTCGAAGGATCTGGAATTGGCTGCGCGATATGCTTAATGTTAATGTTAGCTTTTCAGATATGCAGGATTATTTCATTGCAATGCATAAAACTGGTGCTGCGCAATGTATGGTGGTGTACCGTGCTTCGATTATTGCTGTGGTTAATAGCATTTGGCGGACTCGAAATTAAGCTCGGTTTCAAAACAGGTTTATTCCTTGGAGAACTACATGTTCATCTATTTATGCTACTTCCAAGCTGGCTGGAAATTCTTTCAAAGGAGCATCTTCTATGGACATTGGGGATTTTCAAGTTCTGAAAAAGTTTTCTATTTCCATTAATCCGGTTAATCCCAAGATGTGTGTCGAAGTCATTTGGAATCCTCCCCCAAATGGTTGGATTAAAGTCAACATTGATGGAGCATCCGACGGTGATCCAATAAACGCGGCTTGTGGGGGGATCTTTAGAGATCACTTCGGGAATCACATTGAAAGTTTTGCTTGTAATTTAGGCCCTGTTAATTCTCTGTTTGCTGAGCTGATGGGAGCTATTTTGGCTATTGAGCATGCTTTAGTTCGTGGTTGGTCAAATATTTGGCTAGAATCGGATTCAACTCTTGTTGTGATGGCGTTCAGTAAACCATCTGTTGTGCCCTGGAAGATCAGGAATAGATGGGACAACTGTACGACTACCCTTGATAATTGTAACTTTTTGGCTTCTCATGTTTTCAGGGAAGGTAACCATTGTGCCGATAAATTGGCTAACATAGGTTTAAATATCTCTAACTTTACTTGGTGGAATGATGTACATTGGGATATAGAATCGGACTTTTGTAGAAACCGGTTAGGTTTATCTAATTTTAGAATCAGATAGGTTTGAGGTTTAGGCTCTATGTCCCCCTCATTTTTGTACCTATTTTTCTTTTTCATTTAATATATCTTTGGGTTTTGGCCCAATTTATTAAAAAAAAACGTAAAATATTTATAATAAATTATCAAGTAAAATAATTTTAAGTTGATTTATTTTAAAATTTTAAAAAATTGTTAGATGAAATGACACATGATTTTTTTTATCTTAACAAAAGTTATAGTTCTAAATCTAAATTTGAATAGGCTTAAATATTTTTAGAGAGTTTTTAGTTTATTTTGAATTCAACAAGTTTTGAATGATTAAAACAAAATTTAAGTTAAATACATTTTGTTTTTAATAATTTAATGGTGATTGACACTGGATTTAGTTGAGATAATCATAACTCAATTTCACGCAACAACAATAAAAAAGTGTTGGAACCATTTGATATTAGAATCCACTCTGAACTAGATCAATCGATTATGAATCGAAAACTGTTACAAAAAACTAAATTTTAATATTTAATTATTAATTCAAAAACTAATTTAAATATACAAACAATAAAGAAGAAAAAAGTAACGTATATAAATTCAACAAATTCAGCAGTTTCCAAAACAAACGACGTTATAATTCGGTATAAGAAAAACCAAACATCTCCATTTGTGATGTACAAAAATAAATACATAAAAATTGTGGTGTAAAAAAATAAATACATAAAAATTGTGGTGTACTTCTCCAATTTAAGAAAACCAGTTACAAAACTGAAATTACGTAAAACAGAAAGGACTATAATTGTAAGAAAGTTTCATTATTCGAAACCAACAAAGGGCAAAGCAGTAAAAGCAATAAACTGTTACATCATCAAATTATTGTTTTCTACGAAGTCGTTGGATCCATTGAGGAGGGAAACAAAAAAAATAACAGCTGAAACATTAAAAACATGTTTCTTGAACAGTTTCTGTAAACTTTAGATTTGTTGTCACTGAAAAATATTCATCTTTCGACACTCAGAAATTATTCATGGCTTCGTTGAAACTTCCAGAGGTTGTTCCTTCTCCTACACAGGACTCTGAACGTCTTAGAAATGCTTTCCAAGGTTTCTCTCTTTCTCTCTCTATTATATTAATGCTGATGTAAGTTGAAAAAATGATTTTTTTTTAATGATTTTAGGTGATTTCTGAATTTGGGTAGCGAGAATTACGTTAAAAAAATGAACTTTTGTAGGTTTTTATTAAGTTTTTTTTTTTCACAATTACTTTGTGATATGCATGTTTCATGTTTGTGAAATTGTAATCAAACACTTTAGTTTCAAACATAAATTTTTGCTTTAGATTTCTTATATGAGTAATTGTTGGCATTAGATTTCTGTAGCATATTATATGCATTTTTCATGACATGGTGTGACCTTTTTAAATCTGAAAGTTTATTTAAAATTTTGACAAGCTTACTGTAAAATGGATGTAGGAATTGGAACAGATGAAAAGGAACTAATCTTGGTATTAGGACATAGAAATGCTTATCAAAGGAAGGAAATTAGAGAAACCTATCAGCAAATTTATAAAGAATCCCTCGTCGATCGTCTCCAATCTGAACTCTCTGGTGATTTTAGAGTATGTCATGATGTCATTGTATAGTTTAATTTCAATATGATTTTCGAAGCTCGTGTTTTTTATGAAGTAATGATATGCGATATACTATGCAATATCATGACTCAAACTATTGACATGTAACAGAATGCTATAGTTCTTTGGACTAGTGATCCTTCAGAAAGAGATGCAAAACTAGCCAGAGATGCATTGAAGGCTAAGAGGAAAGGAATCAAACAGCTGCAGATTCTGGTTGAAATAGCGTGCGCGACAAGTCCTAATCATTTGATGGCTGTGAGACAGACTTACTGCGCTCTCTATGATTGCTCACTCGAGGAGGACATTATAGCATCGGTTTCTCCGCCCCTCACAAAAGTAAGGAAACTCTTATCTAAGTCTGTCCATTTCAGTTCAAGTCCATGATTTTAAACTGCGGTTATAGCATAGCAAAATACAAACAAATTGTTATCATTCTGCAATAGACTGTTTAGTGCAAAATGTTGTAAGATATAGGCTATAGCACTATTGCGTAGCAGAATTTGAACAAACCGCTATTTTTTTCACAAATCCAATGTTCTTGCAGATTTTAGTGGGACTAGTAAGCTCCTTCAGGCATGATAAAGTAACCATAAATTCAGAGGTTGCAAAATCAGAAGCAGAAAAACTACATGAAGCCATAAAAAACAAGCAATTAGATGACGATCACGTTGTTTGGATACTTTGCACGAGGAATTTTTTCCAGCTCCGCGAAACTTTCGCATGCTACAAACAACTCTATAACAATACATTCGAAGAGGTTTTCCTTAAATCTTAAAACTAGTTATTTAAATCATGTCATTTGTTCATATAAGAAAGAAAGAAAAACACTTACGAGAAAAGCCTCGAATCTCAATTACTATGAATTTGGGGGATTTTCTTTGCAGGACATAAAAGTTTGTGGTAAAGGTGATTTGGCTTCTCTTTTGAATGTCGTAGTATGGTGCATAGACCGCCCCGAAAAACATTTCGCAAAGGTACTTACTCTAGCTTATTTCATGCCACATCGTAATTATAAAATGCTCAAGTTCATTGAAATGATTGCTTTCTAATTTCTCTTTGTTCACATTCACCAACAGGTTATAAGGGATTCTATTGTCGGGTTTGGTACCGATGAAGATTCACTCAACAGAGGCATTGTAACTCGAGCTGAAATCGACCTGTTGAAAGTCAGATTTGAATATGCTAACATGTTCAAAGCAAATCTTGACGATGATGTCATTGGAGATACCTCAGGAGATTACAAAGAGTTTTTGTTGACATTGCTAGGGAAAGGACCAAAGGGAGACTAATACATCAGACCAAGAAGAACCTGTCATTCTGTTTTGAGGTTTCTTGTATTCTGCATTGGATGGTTTAAATTTCTCTAGAACATGTTACTATAATTCAGAAGAATTAGAATTGAAAGTTGAAACTAAAACTATATATGTGTGTGTTTTTCTGAATTGACTTTATGTGTATATTATTATCAATTCATTGTGCCTTGATGTCTTTGTGAAAACTAAAAGGGCCTAGTGTAAAAATAACAGGTTTAAATGCAATTTTAGTCCTCCAATTTATGTTTTTTAAAAATTTTTAAGCCCCGTTTAAAAAAACTTAGTTTTTAAGTCACTCTCTTTAAATTGTTTTGAGATTTTCTTAGTCCCCTCTTCAGTTTGGACTATGTAGTATGGTAGCGCTGATGTGGCATGGTAGATGTTGACCCAGGCTGAAAATAACATTGTCATGTCATTAAAAACTTAATATATTTAATTTTTATAAACATTTAAAATAAAAAAACATTTTCAATTAAACAAATTGATTAAAAAAGTTTATAAAACACGTATGTCTTATTCTCCCTTTTAAATCTGTGAACCCTAGAAATCATTCTCCAGAATTCGTTTGTGTTCTTCCCCAATTTCTTTTCTAAAATTCGTTTCGAGCTTCACCCAAACCCTTAGCATCCATGTCCGAATATTTAGCATCAAGCAATCGCAGTGTGTCCCACTCCAATCACGTCGAATGCAAGTGTGGTATTCTTTCTCCATTGATGACGGCGTGGACTGGTCAAAATCCAGGTAGTCGTTTTTTGGATGTGGGATGTATAAGATTAGTTTCATGTATTTTTTTTTTAAAATCTCGAATTTATTGTATTCTCCTGAAAAATCCCTAATTTCTTCATGTATATGTCTAGAATCAGGGATACAAGAGATGTAGTCACTTTGTCTGGTATGATGAAGAAATGTCTCAACGAGACAAGGAAGTGATATCTTCAATGCATGAAAAATTAAACCAAGAAAATGTTAAGTTGAATGAAGCCATTGTCAGAGAAGATCAAATGAAGTTGAAGATCAAGTATTTGAAGATGATGAACAAGTTTACCATGGAAATGATTAGTGTTGTTAATTGGGTTGGTTGTATCAAATGTAATAAATTAGTTTGTATTGTTTGTGTTTGGTTGTAATGTGATAAGTTTGTTAAGTGTTTGATTGTAATGTGTTAGGTTTGACACTGTAATGTATTGTTATGACAAGGAAGTAATGTTAAGTTGAATTAACTTGACACTGTTATGACATTGTTAAAGTTGACTTATAATGTGATATCAGACTTGTAAAGTTGTTCAAAATAACATACATATAAAGTTGGTTTATAAACCAATGTTAACAGACATATAAAGTTGTTCAAAATAACAGATATTATATAAAGTTGGTTTATAACAGACATTATTCAAAATAACAGACTTAATATAACTTGTTCAAAATATCAGTACAACTTGTTCAACTCATAATACATGATTCTTATGTCTTAACCATTACATAACTCAAAATAGGACAGGTAGTCAACATCTCATTTCCAATTCATTTATGAAATTAACCCAGCAACATACAGTTTCACAGGGGTGTCCACAAAATAACCTCTATGATGAACTCTAAACCTAATTTTTTAAGTTTGTGATGGTTAGGAATACATGTTAAATACAAGTCAGACAAAGGAAGACACACAAATCAACATAACCCAAATGGGACCACATGCCCTAAACAAAAAAGGAACACAAACCCTAAAATGAATAGAACCACCGCGTGCAAAAAAACACAAACCCTAAAACGAAAACGACATGTTTCTAAAACGGAGGACAAAATACTGCATACTTGAGACAAAAATTCTCCTATTTGTTGCTTTTCGCTGTCACTGAAGGAATTTTGTCCATTGCTTTTCTCCTCCCAGACAACGTGCTAAGGCTTTGAGTGAAGCAATTGGGGAATTCTTGAAGACGATTTCTAAGGTTCACAGAATTCAAATGGGGAAGATACGTGTTTTCTTCTTTTATGAAAGGGGAAGATTGAATCTCTTCAGTTTAAGTTAATGAAAAATATTTTTATTTTATTTTAAATGTTTATAAAATTAAATATATTAGGTTTTTAATGACATGGCAATGTCGATTCCAGCCTGGGTCAACATCTACCATGCTGCATCAGCGCTGACCATGCCACATAGTCCAAACTGAAGAGGGGACTAAGAAAGTCCCAAGATGATTCAAAGAGTGGGACTTAAAAGATGGGTTTTTTCAAAGGGGACTTAAAAGTTTAGAAAAAGATAAGTTGGAGGACTAAAACTGCATTTAAGCCAAATAACAATTAATTGTGACTTTGATATATTGGTGAATGGACTGTGTCTTCTAGGCTAGTCATGAAGTCTTTTTTTAATCAAGGTGTTCCGTTTGTTTTAGGCCTCAAGACTATAACCTTTGAAGCTAAATCAATAACTAGATTTTATCATGAAAGCATCAAGTCTTACTCAAACTATTTAGAAGTGAGAACTGTAGGAGCATTGGAAATTTATACTTTCAGGTTTTACACACATATGAAAATTCGTCATCTTATCTCAGAGTCATTTTGGCCAATAAAATGCCAGGTGTTCTACTTCGATAGTTTGTAGAAAGACTAGTATTCATCTGTGTTGAAGTAGCTAGTCGGAGGAGTAGAAGTAAGTTGTATTCGACAAAATCGAATACAGCATATAGTTGTTGTGTAAGTTGAAATGTTGTATGTTTTGGGCTTGAGCCTTGGTTGCGTGTATATAGGCATACATTTGTAGTTTCAAATAACAACTTCATTGTAATCACTTCAGTTTTTTATTCAATATTTTCCCCTTTCTCTCTTCTTCTTGAAACTCTAATTGTTCCTTCAGTTCCAATAAATTAGTATCAACGAGTCCGGTTGTGATTCAGAGAGAATCTGTAATGGCAAATAGAAAGACAACATCAACACAATTTTCAGTGAATCTAGTGGTTTTCAAAGGGGAGAATTACAAGAGGTGGGTTGCGCAGATGAAGGTCCTCTTCAGATTTCAAGACGCGGCTGAAATCGTGAATGATTGAGTACCTGCATTGGAAGAGAACACAAACAATGTTCAGCAAGCTGTGCATAAGGAATGAAGAAAGAAAGATGAAAAAGCTCTGTTCTTAATTAATCATTGTGTGGATCCTAACGTGTTTGAGAAGATCACTGAAGAAGAAACAAAGATGAAGATGAAAAGTTGAAAAGGGTAAGGTTGCAAATGCTGAGAAAGCAATTTGAGATGACTCAAATGAACATAGATGAGTCAGTTTCAGAATTTTTTACGTGTGTAGTATCGCTAATAAACCAGATAAAGGCGAATAGTAAATCAATCACTTATCTGTAGAAGATTGAGAAAGTGTTCAGATCTTTGACTGTAAACTTTAATTACATTGTCGTGTCCATTGAAGAGGAAAAAAACCTAACTGAGATGAAGGTGGAAGAACTTCAAGCTTCATTGGAGGCTCATGAGATGAGACTGAAGCAGAGGAACTCATAGAGGAAGAAAGTGTTTGAACATGAAATGCAAGCAAGATTCACCAAGAAATATGGGAAAGAAAAGGCGAAGCTGAGAAAGAATCTTGCTAATGAAAAGAAGTCAAGCAAGAACTCAAAGAATCATTCTAATTCAATCAATAAAGTCATGAGAAACAAGTTTTTAGGAAAGAAAGTTGGCATGAAATAGGTGCATTGTTACAGCTGTCAAGGATTTGGTCATTATGCTAGAGATTGTCGAATAAAGAAGGAATCTAGAGCATAATATTATAATGAAGTGCAATATGAACATGCTGGAGAAAGAGACTCTGATGATTTGCTCCTCGTGGAAAATACTCAAACAGATAATGAACAAACCAATATGTGGTATCAGAATTTAGGATGCAACAATCACATGACTGGAAATAAAAAATGGTTTACCAAGTTAGATGGATCGGTCAAGAGGGTGATCAAGTTTGCAAATGGAAAGCATGTTACATCAGAGGAAAGATGAAATATAGTTATGATGAGAAGGAATGGTCGAAGAGCCAGCATTACTGACGTATTGTATGTACCTTTAATGACAAGTAATTTAATAAGCACATGTCAATTACTTGTCGAAGTGTATAACATGAAGTTGGAAGAAAATCAGATGAAGGTGTATAATGATGAAGGAAGGATGATCCTGAAGGAACCATTGGCAGACAACAAAACTTTCAAGATTGAGATCTACATGGTTGATCATCAGTGCCTTTCTTCGAATGATGTCAAAGATAAGAGATGGCTATGGCATCACAGGTATGAACACTTAAACTTCAAACGTCTAGGTATGCTCAATCAGAAGAAGATGGTGTATGGCTTACCTCAAGTGAAAGAACCAAGTCAAATATGTGAGGAAGGCTGCATAACAAAGAAGGATATGAAGGCATTCAACCATGACTTGTCCATGCAATCGAGAAATAAGCTGGAGCTTATTCACTCTGACGTATGTGGACCTTTTGAAGTAAGGTCGAATGGAGATAACTTCTATTTCTTAACATTCATAGATGAATTCAAATATATATATATATATATATATATATATATATATATATATATATATATATATATATATATATATATATATATATATATATATATATATATATATATATATATATATATATATATATATATATATATATATATGTATGTATATATATATATATATATATATATATATATATATATATATATATATATATATATATATGTATGTATATATATATATATATATATATATATATATATATATATATATATATATATATATATATATATATATATATATATATATATATATATATATATATATATATATATATATATATATATATGTATGTATATGTATATTTACACACACACACGCACACACACACACACACATACCTTTTGAAAGGAAGAGTGAGGTATTCACATAGTCCAAGAATTTTAAATTGCATGTCGAAAAACAAAGTGGATGC